AGCTAAGGGGTGCAGGGACAAATGAAGGGGTGCGGTGGAGATATGAAAGGAAGAAAGTAGTGCAGGGGCAGATGTGGACCAGGGAGAGATTGAGGAAGGCAGGTGACAGATGGGAGGGGTGCAGGAGGTGCCAGGGTGCAGGAAAGAGCTCAGGGGTGATGAGGATGGATGAGGGGAGGGAGATAGCATACAGCTGAGTCAGCAGATGGGGTGCCGTGAAGTACGTGGGTGCATGGGGGGGGGTGGGTGAGGAAGCTGTGGGGCTAAGTGGAGGGCAAGAGGGCATGGGGCGCAGCAGGCCAGAGAGTTCTGGCATAGGAATGGGTTGGCACCTTAACGAGGCCAGGTCACCCTGAGCTCCTTGGAGCAATGGTAACAAATAAGTTGTGACCACTGCAAAAGAAGTTATAGGGCCAAGACAGGCAAAGAGACATAGCGAGGGAGCCCTGGCTGCACAAGCCTATCAGATATCCCAGCTATGATTCTAACAAGGTACCACCACCACCACGAGACACTTCTGCATCTTCCCAGTGCCCTGGATGGCCCTCAAGGAGCGGGGTACCCTCGTGTCCCCAGTGAGGAGGGCCAGATAGCCCTCCTGGGGTATGCAGGCAGCAGTGGGGTGAATAGTGGGACTGGGCATGTCTCTCAGCACGGGGAAGGTACCAGGGCAGAGGCAGGAAGGAGGTGCAGCTTAAATGGCATTTGTCGATGTTTACAACATGAGTCATCCAGCTAAGTAGCTGTAAATCAGCGCCCCAACTTCTCCAGCATCAATCGTGTCCCGTCCTCTGTCCCCCCAGCACTGGATGAGTGCCTAGTTCCTGTAGAAACAACCTCATAAATAACAGCAACAAAACAAAGCCTCCTGCCTGCCACGGCAGGCCCGTGTGCACCAGGCGCGGGATGAACGTCTCCCATCCATCACTTTAATGATTTTACTCTGGAAATTAAACCTGTCATGGTCCATCAAGGTGAATGTTTTAAGCGTGTGACATCCCTTCAGCTCCCCTCCTCCTTCCTGGCACTCTTTTTTTGTTGCTTTCCTTCTCTCCTTTCCCTCTGTGCCCCTGCCATCCCTTCCCCCCATCTCACCCCCACTCCAGTGTGTCCACCTCCAGTCTCTGGTCCTCTCTGTGATCCCCTGCTGCTGCAGGACCAGGTTGTACATCAGTCGGGTGGTAGATGCCTTTGGCCTTGGGGCTCCAGCAGCCATAGGCTGGGATCTGTTAGCAACTCACTACACAACAC